GAATTCATGACTCAGTCCTCAAAAGTAATTGCAACAAAAACAAAGATCAACAAATTGGACCTAATTAAATCAAACAGCTTCAGCATAGCAAAAGAAACTACCAACAGAGTAAAAAGAAAACCTACAGAATGGGAGAAAATATTCACAAACTATGCATCTGACAAAAAAAGGTCTATTATCCAGAATCCATAAGGAACTTAAATCAATAAGCAAAAACAACCCTGTTAAAAGTGGGCAAAGGACATGAACAGACTTTACTCAAAAGACATATAAGTGGCCAACACACATATGAAAAAAATGCTCAACATCACTAATAATCCGAGAAATGCAAATCTGATGGTGTGAGGTATCAGTCAGAATGGCTATCACTAAAAAGTCAAAAAACAACAGATGCTTGCAAAGCTGCAGAGATAAGGGAACACTTATACCCTATTAGTGGGAATGTAAATTACTTCTGTCTCTTTGGAAAACAGTTTGGAGATTTCTCAAAGAACTAAAAACAGAACTGCCATTAAACTCAGAAATCCCATTCCTTTTATTTAAAAAAAAAAATAGATTGTTCTACCAAAATATACCTGCACTTGTATGTTCATTGCAGCACTATTCAAAAAAACACACAGAATCAACCTAGTTCCCATCAACAATGGATTAGATAAGAAAAATGTAGCATATACATACCATGGAATACTGCACAGCCATAGAAAAGAATAAAATCATGTCCTTTGCAGCAACATGAATACAGTGTAGGCCACTATCCTAAGTGATTTAACACAAGAGCAGAAAACCAAATGCTATGTGTTCTCACCTAGAATTGGGAGCTAAACTCATGGATATAAAAACAGCAAGAATAGACATTGGAGGCTACTAGATGGGGGAGGGGGGCAAGGGTTGAAAACCATACCCACTATGTGAGTGATGGAATCATTAATATCTCAAACCTCAGCATCATGCAGTATATCCTTGCAACAAACCTGTACATGTACCTGTGAATCTAAAAGTTATAATTTTAAAAAGCACAAGGGAATGTCTTCAATATAGGAAGAGAAAATAACTGCCTACTTAGAATTCTACACTCAGCAAAAATATACCTCAAAATTTAAAGCCATATGATAACTCTCTCTGACAAGCAAAAAGTTAGAGAAAGTTTTAAAATTGATTTTTATTTTTATGACAAGTAAAAAGTTTGTCTTCTGTAGAGCTGCACTGAAAGATATTCTAGAGCATGTAGTTCAGACATAAAATAATCATCGGTAGAAGGTAAAGCTGAGGGGAAAAAGGAAAGCAAGAAAAATGGTGAATATGTGGGTGAATCTAAATGAATACTGATTATGTAAAATAATAACTTATGTTTAATTGTGTTTTAGATATATAGAGAATTTAAATAAGCAGTAAAAATAGCATTGAATTTGGGAAAATGGTAATGAATTTTTTAAGTGTTGTGTTGTCTAGGAGGAGGGTAAAGGTATTAATTAGCATTTGATAAGTCAAGGATATGTATTGTAATTTCTAGAATAACCACTAAGAAAAAAGAAAAGAAACAAAGCATACAACTTTGAAACTAATGAAGGGGAAGAAACTTCAAACTAGAAAAACCAACAAGAAGACAAAGAAGAGAGAAAAATAGAACAGCTGATATGATGGAAAGTACAAAATAAAATGGTAGATTTAAACACAAAGTTACAGTTATTACAACAGACTAATTGCTGTAAGTAAAAGTCTAAGATTGTCCTTCTGGATCAAAAAAAACAAACTAATAAACAAATCCCAAATATAGGTTATTTAAAAGTAACATATCTAAGACATACAGATAAAAATCAATTTTAAAGAAGCAAAAAATAAAACATAAAGAAATGGTGACAGCAACTAGGAAATATGCTCCAACAAAATGAGAAAATAAACTAAAAAAAAAAACCATGGGACTGAGGAGACAGAGGATTGGCATTGGAAGATAAAGAGTTATGGGAAGGAAGCTTCCAGGTAAAGTAGAGAATAAACCCTTTCATGCCTCACATCAGCTGATAGGTATATGGTATCTCTGATGAAATATTTAGAAAAATTTGGATATTAGCTTTTTAAAATTACAGTGAAAATAGAAGCAATTAATAACTCTAAAAAATCCCATAAAACGTTTCTTTTGGACCAGAAAGGAAATGCGATCAAATAATATGAATTGATTCCACAATTTAAAAGTGTTTGCCCAACCTCAATGTAAACACTATTTATTGATCGAGCTAAAATCTGTGATATACACTGCTCAGCAGAAGTAGGACAGTGGAATGTAAGAAAGAGAACAAGTAAAACAGAAGCCACTAAATGAGGTCAAAAAGATATAAATCAAGAATTGGTAGTATAATCATATTATTTAGAATTATAGAGGTAAGTGCCAGAAAGATCAGCTAAAATAAATGAAAGTGACTACCTCTGAGAAGAAGGAGGTAAGGGTTGAAGAGTAGTGAGAAAAGTGCTATTTATAATTATGAGCCTTCTGGTTTTATTTGGTTTTTAAATTATGTACAGGTATTACTTTGTTAAAATTGAAATGGCAAAAATGAAATCAAAACTAACCAGAAAACAGAAGCAATGAAGGGGCCCTTTTCCTATCAGATATAGCAATTAAAATGGAAATTAAAATTGTAATGACTTTACATAGAAATGCATAAGTAGGTATCAAAATATATTATAAATTATGGTAAATTAAACAATAATTGTCACAGTAATAAACACTTCCATGAAACAGGATACATAATCAAGTCAATATGGAAATTCAGTTCATGATAAAGGCAGCCTTTTAATAGCAGTATTTAATCAGTAGGGATAGTTATTTGATGACTGGCAATTCATTTTGAAAAATCAGCATTAGATCCCTATCTCACACTATACAAAGAAAGAAATTTCAGTCAGATCCAAAAGCTAAATGCAAAACCTAAAATTTCAAAAAGAGAATGACGTAATATCTGTATGTAGTGACTTTGAAACAGGCCTATAAGCTATTTTTAGGTGAAAAAAGAAAATAGGAGTACAGTATGATTAGCACAATTCTATTTTTTAAGTAAAAATGCATACATGAGTTTGTGTGTGTGTGTGTGTGTGTGTGTGTGTCTGTGCATGTGTATGTGTATGCATGTGAGAGAGAAATGCAGGGGAGAGAGCAATCGAGAACAACAAAAAAAGCCTAGAACATGCACTAAATCATTAATAACAGTAAGTAGATTTTGGTGGTGGTGACAATGGAGAGATCATAACTAAAAAATGTGGGAAAGTTGTCAGTAAATATTACTTTCATTTTCTCCTTTTTTCACATTTTTCAAATAAAAACTGTTAAAAAAAAAAAGGTTAAAAAAGTTTGAAGTGAAGTTTTAATCTTAACCTTTAAATCTGTTCCTCTATTACCTTGGAATCTATAAAAACTATGTTCACGTATAAATCCTGTGTATATTTCTATCCACTAAAGCTTCTGTGATCTTTTTCTTTAAAAAAAGTACTGTATTCAGCTTTTGTAAATAGGGAATGTTCTATTTAAGTAACATTTGTTGAATTATTATAATATGCAGAACAAATAACTAGATATGTTATATAATTTTTCTTAACACCCTGGGTTCACTCTAGAAAATTTTCTAAGGAAAATTGCATGCAAGCCAAGTTAAAAGAGGGGGGTACTCTTTCTAGATTATATCAAATAACCCCAAGGCAATAATGACAATTTTTAAATTGAATCCTGTACTGTAGAGAAACAAACAAAAAAGATAAAAACAGCATCCCTATGTATCATCAAATGTAAGACCTGCAAAGAAAAAGATGCACTAAGAAATATTTCTGAAAGTGTTTAATTAAGAATAAATCCTGCTAGCCTCTACTGGTTTTTTTCGTTTTTTGTTTTTTGAGACGGAGTCTTGCTCTGTCACCAGGCTGGAGTGTAGTGGCACAATCTTGGTTTACTGCAACCTTGACTCCTGGGTTCAAGCGACTCTTCCACCTTAGCCTCCGGAGTAGCTGGGACCACAGGCGCGTGCCACCATGCCCGGCTAATTTTTGTGTTTTCAGTAGAGATGGGGTTTCACCATGTTGGCCAGGATGGACTCGATCTCTTGACCTCATGATCCGCCCACCTCGGCCTCCCAAAGTGCTGGGATTACAGGCGCCTGGCCTCCTCTACTATTTTTAAGCTGCAATGCCAAGATCCTTTTTTATTTCTCTGCAGGGCAGAAAGCAGATTAACAAAATCCTACTGAAAGCAATAGAAAAATGAGAATAGAGTTTTTATATTATCTTGGAAAATCCATGTGGATATCTGAGACCTTGAGGAACATGGAGTCTATATCTTATCCTTTCTATATCTGAGCTCAGTGTCATTTTCGTCTTGCTCCATCATTTAATTAGATTTATTTTTTGCCTGGCATTGCATTGGACACTGGGCATGTGACAACCTTGAGTTGCTGTTAGCAGAGGCAGTGGGAGAGACATAAGCCAACAGCAATTACAATTCAGAACTCAAATGCCATTCTGGAGGTGTGGGCGAGGGCATGGGAAACCTGAGCTCAGACTCCTTCCCAAAGACATCCATTATCTCTCCAAAGGTAAGAAGCCACACAAAGGAACAGATAGCAACAGAAAGCAAAAGCATTTTTGCTTGTGATTGCAATGAAAATACTCTCTCTTTTTTTTTTTTTTGAGACGGAGTTTCACTCTTGTTACCCAGACTGGAGTGCAATGGCGTGATCTCGGCTCACCGCAACCTCCGCCTCCTGGGTTCAAGCAATTCTCCCACCTCAGCATCCTGAGTAGCTGGGATTACAGGCACGCGCCAGCATGCCCAGCTAATTTTTTGTATTTTTAGTAGAGACGGGGTTTCACCATGTTGACCAGGATGGTCTCGATCTCTTGACCTCGTGATCCACCCACCTCAAGCTCCCAAAGTGCTGGGATTAAAGGCTTGAGCCACTGTGCCCGGCCGAAAATACTCTCTTAATGTCACTCAGGTAGGAAAGAGTGAAGGTGGACTTGGGAAGGTGAGTAAAGCTCTTGGAGCCAGCGCTGCATTCACAGATGGCTAGGGCTCTTGGCAAGCCAGCCATGGTCACTACCCAAACTCCTCCCCTTGCCTCTTCTCACTTGGTTCCTGGGCTCTGCCTTGTCTGTACCAGTGTCCTGGTGCTGCTGTCAACTGCTGCCTCTTGTCCTGCTCACTCCTGAGAGGTGAGTCCCCCAGATTCTTCTATGCCCAGCACAATCACAAAAATCTCTGATTTTTATGTGCAGGTTCCTTAAATGTTGCAACCTGGACATTTAGCAGGGTGGTAACATTTAAGGAACCATAATTGGCTGGGTGTGGTGGCTCTTGCCTGTAATCCTAGCACTTTGGGAGGCTGAGGGTGGACTGCTTGAGGCCAGGAGTCTGAGACCAGCCTGGCCAACATAGTGAAATCTCGTTTCCACTAAAAATACAAAAATTAGCTGGGAGTGGTAGCAGGCCTGTAATCTCAGCTACTTGGGAGGCTGAGGCACTAGACTTCCTTGAACCTGGGAGTTTGAAGCTGCAGTGAGCTGTGATCGTGCCACTCCACTCCAGCCTGGGCAACAGAGCAAGACTGCCTCATAAATATACATAATGGTTAATGAATAAGAAGTACAATTCAGGGAGTAGCTTCTAGTAAGTACCAAGACCCAGACCTGCCATCAGGGTCCGTTATGCCCCGGTTCTTCTCCAGGGCCTATTGTGACAGGGAAGTGCTCCAGGCTTCTTCTGCCTCCCAGCCCAGAGAGACAGTATTTTCTCTTATCTCATCCCTCAGTGCCCTAAAAGCAGAATGACCATCTGTCCCAGTTTACACTTGATGTCTCAGAGTTAATAGTTCCCTTCTTACTCCCCAAATAGCCCCAATTTGATGTTCAGCTACATGATCACTTTGTCTAGACATAATCAGCTCTAGGAAGACTAATAGTGAGAATATCCATTCTTTTCTGGGAAATCCCATCTCTCAACACCAAGGGACTGATCCAGCCTATGGGGCCTAACAGTGATCATACACCAAGAGTCTGGACGTAGTGCATTTACCGAAGTCTGGCTCATTCCATCTTACAAAATACAGTATGTGGGCATCACCAGTCCAATCCAGGTTGCAGAATGGCAGGATCAGTCCTCTCCCTTTACAGTCAGAGTCCAAACAACCTCAAAGTCCAGCCTGACAGAAGCCCTTCTTATACAACATTCAGACTTATCAGCCACTTATCCACAGGACAGTTTATGAGCCATGGTTCCCCTTCAATGATAGGAGCCCCATGGTGTTAGAGGACTAAGCAATTTTAGCAAATATACAAGCAACTAAATATATAAATAAATAAACCAAATAAACCTTTGACCTAAGTCCTAACTCTGTTGGGAAAAGAAAGCAAATATCAGCTCTATCAGCTTAGAAGCAAGACCCTTTCTGTCTGCAACACTTGGGTATGAACAGCCACATGCAAAGTGTATCAGACAAGCAAGTTTATACTGTTGGCATGGAAGTGATGCAAATCCCAGGCCAATTAAAAAAATCCAGCTTTGTACTCCCCATTCACCCTCAAGCCCAATCAAACTGAATCAAGATGTGGCAGGTGAGAGCTGTAAAGGAACCGACCCTGGTGCCCAGCTGGTCTCGGTCTATGCACCACATTTTTTCATTCACTCCCCATTCCCATGATTATACTGCAACTGTTGATGCTGCTCCTGCTTTCAAAGCCTCCTGGCACAGGAGACGAGTATTGCACAAGGGAACATTGGATATGTCTGGGCTGCCCGAGGGCCTCACAGGCTGTGAGTGGCTAAGTTTTCAAGACCCAACTCAGCTCCTGCCAGTTTTAAAAATTACACTGCCAGCACAGAGTGGCATCCAGATACCCTGAGGGCGTGTAACACTCCAACTTTTCCCATATGTCTGGAACTATGTGGAGTTTCTCATTTGCTAAATTGGGCCAAGTCAGAATATTTAGACCTGAGTTCTAATTCTAGCTTTGCTTCTAAATAGCTTACTTAACTCTCTAGACCTTAATATTCTCAACTGGAAAATGTAGGAGTTGGCCTAGGAAGCTACTAACATCCCTCCTGCTCTGGCATTCTGTGGGACTGCACTGCTCATGGGAATTACCTTCTGGTTGTTGTACCTCAGAAAATATTCTCTCCGAGCCTCAATTTCCTTGGCAAAAGTCGTACCCATACAATAGGCTCCTCACAAAGAGGTTGTGGACTTCAAGTAGGACTGTGTACATAGAAGCAGACAGCACAGTGAGTGCACACAGTAGGAACTCAATAACTGTTAATTTGTAACATCTCCCAGAGTCTCCATCTGTGAAAGAGAAATAATACTTGCCAATCTAGCTTGTGAAAATGTATATAGAGCAATGAATAGAGATGGAAAGTGCTTGGAATTAAGAAACGCAAATGCAAATGACGGGAGTTATTATTATGCAAAAATGGACTGAAGTCAGAGTTTAAGACGGAGCAGGAACAGATTCGATGTGCCTGATTAATTTATTAAACAGACTAAAATCATAATTAGAGAAGTCTGCTTAAACCCCTAGACTTCTCTCAGATGAGATTTAAAAATGGAAGGCAAAAGAGGAATCTCAGATGTTTCCACGGCTTGCTGGGCCCAGAAACGAGGCCAAGAGGAGAGAGGGAGGCCGAGGGAGGGGCAAGGGTGCTAAAATGACTGTTAGAGAGGGGAGCTGCTGAAGCCAAGGGAGCAGCTGGGAGTAGAGGCGATGACAGCTGAAGCGAAGGGGTTATTTCAGAACTGCTCATTGTGACCTGTTTAGCTTTGGCTCTCATTAAAGTCAGGGGAATGAGCTAGAGGAAACCTTTCTTCCCTTTTTATGAGAAAGGGTGAGGCTTGTTTGCCCAGGAGGGGTATCAACATGTAAGAGAGTGTGCCTGTTTCAGCTTAGAGGTCCTACAGAGAAGGAGCACTCATACCCTTAAGCAATGGGTTCTCTCCTGGAGGCCTGGAAGGAAGCAGGTGCCATGGGCTGATCGAAACTCTTGGGCGGAAATCCAGGCTTGGCTACAGGTTATTTTTGTCTAACATTTTATTATGAAAAATCTCATACAGCACAGTTGAGAGCACTTTTTAGTGAACACTGGCATAGCCCCACCTAAATTCTATTATTATGATTTTACTATATGTGCTTTATTGCATCTGTCCATCCACCTATCCCTCTAACCATCCATTACTTTATCCTAATTTTGGTGCATTTTGAAGTAAATTACAGGCTTCAATATATTCCCATATAAATACTTCATTTGATGTAAAATTTACATGCTATGAAATGCACAAATACGAAGTCTACAGATGCCTCATTTTGACAAACGTATGCACCTGTGTAACCCAAACCCCGTCTATCAAGATACAGAACACCATCACCTCAGGGTTGACTACAGATTTGCTACATGATCTTGGACAAGACCTTGCTTAACTTTGATTTCAGCTGGTCCCAGCTTTTTTGATTTTGGAACACTTTTTCCAAGTACCACGTTTAACAATTTTGTCTTAAACAATTAAGCCTACAGGGAACCTTGACTATCATTTAGTTTAAGCCTTCATATTACCATCAAAGGAATCTGAAGATTGGAGATATTTATCCAAAATCACTAAACTGGTGGCACAGTTACAACAGGAAATTAATATTTATTGAGCAACTTCTCCAAGCCAGGAAATACACTAGGTGCTTTATACGTGAACCCTCACCACAACCTGCCTCACAGGGCTATAATAAAGATGAAAGAAGATTAAATATGCAGAGTGCCTGGCATTGTGCCTGGCACAGAGCAGACACCAAATGTCATCATTGCTTTTCTCTTCAGCCCCACATTTACATTTTAACACATTCATACTGCGGAGATAGTAAATGTATATGCTTTGTCCCATTTAGTTATGACAATAACCCTGTGCATGCTTTAAATGAGAATATAGTGCTTGTTTTGGATCACTGTTAGTGAATGATGATAGCACTAAGACTCAAACTCAGTCTCCTGACCTCAAATAGTTTCAGGCAGTGAGAGGTAGGAGCTGTGTTTATGCTCCTCCCAGGCCATCTGGAGCTAGAGTGGAAGGGCAATTTGGAAAATGCTATGAAGGATATATTTGGTTTAAGTGACAGAAACCCAACTTAAACTGGCTAAATAGAAGAAAGGGGAATTTGTTGATGCCTAGCAGAGAAAGTTTTGGTCGCAATCTAGCTTTAGGCATGGCACTGATTGATTTAGGGCTTTATGTGATGTTACCAAAGATCTGACTTTCTCTCTCTTTCTGCACTCCCAGCCCCTCAAATTTTCTCTTATTTGGCTCCATTCTCAAGCAGCACCGCCCTCATGGAGGCAAGATAGCCATCAGCAGGTCTTGGTTTACTTCTCTCTAGATTAGCAATCTCAAAAGAAAAAGAAAATTTATTTTGCAACATCTGGCAAAACTCCAAGGATTGATTTTACTGAACCAGGTTGTTTTTTGTGTCTACTCTTGAAACAATCACTTTTAAAAAAGGACAGAATCTATTAACTGGCCACCATGGGTTATAAGCTACCACTCTAACCAGAGGTGGGTCCACCAAAGGTCATATCACTAGTATAAACTCAGGTATGGTTGAAAGGGGCTCATTATGAGTAACAAGATACATGCCTATCACTCAGGGAATTCTAAGGGTTTTGGAAACTGAGGACAAAGACAAAACATATTTTTTATTATACCACAGTTTGTATGAGAGGTTTATAGATCATGCCTTAAAATTGGAAGCTCAAATTATAATCCACTGGGGTAAAGTCCAGTTGAAGTTCTTACTGCCTCATATAACCACTAAGAAAATGCCAAGCCATTCCCTTATTCCCTGATTTAATAAAAGATTTGGAGTCAAAGAGTCAATGCATTCATGTGTTGGCCTTCCAAGGAAACTTACCTGAATTGTCTCAGGAATCCTTAGTGTCTAAGCCCAGGGATCCAAAAATACATGAGGTCTACTCGAAACCCTTCCCAGGAAGGTCTCTAACCATCTATCCCCAAGGATGCCAACTGTCATGCCCTGCCCTATTGCAGCACTCTCTTACTTCCCTCAGAGATGTTCAGGCATCAGCGAAATTCTCAATAACAACTCCATTTTAGAGGTGCTTTCCCCGCAAAGGAACTACTATGATGGTAGCCATTTTGAATATCAGGCCATGAGGGAGCTACTTCTGCTTACATGGGCCTTGTGGCCATCTTTCCTGGGCCATGTGAGGTAGGATGTGAAAGGGCATGTGCTCATAGCTTCCCTTTTTTTAGCACAGATGACTGAAATAAGAAAAAGTTGAGGCAAAAATTAGAAGAAGTCAGCAAAGTTTCTTTGGGCCAACCATCTCCTGTTTTGGTTCCCTTCTCCCACAGTCTTTCCCTTCCCCTTTACAGGTTCCCAGTGACTTCCTCCTTTCACACTACTTCACTGGAAGCAACACAGGGAAGGGACAGGAAAGGAAGAACAAAAGAGAGGACAGAGACCAGGGATGCTCAGCACACTGTACGCAAGAGAAACACGAAGTTGAGAAGAACCAAGACAAGTGACTTTTGAGTGAATTGACATTGATATTGCTCGAACATGAAAATGGTATTAGAGAAAAATTTCTGGAAAGCAAATTGCAGATTCTGCAAAACTCAGTATGTTAAAAAAATATGCATTTTTGCTGAATAAAATGAATTGATAAGTCATCTTATTCTGTATTCCCAATATAGACTCAAAAATTGGTCACAATATCATTGAGACCACCGAGGTCTGTCCCAGCCACTGTCACCTGGACTCTCCATGCCTATTCTTTCCCCATTCATGGCATTCATTAGAGAGGCTGAAATTTGTATGGGATCTTAGAGGGAAGAATAGTATATAGGGAAAAGCATCATGAGACTGGAACTGAAAATGCAGGCTCTAGTCCCCTCTGACAGTGATTAGAGTGAACTAGGATTAATCAAATCCCCACTGTGTCATAGTCACCTAAGTTAGGATGATAATCCTAAGTTTAGATGATAATCTTTAAGATTACTTCCAGCTTTTATGTTTCAAGAGACAGTGCTACCTGTTTTCATTTCCCCCCTGCTAATTTCTCCTAAAGTGCTCTAAAGTAAACACACTCCTCTTAGCTTAGACACATGAGTGATAGAGAACTCTGTTTCCCAAGGCATTCACTCCTTGTTAGTCGATTTGTGGTTTTAGAGTCACTCTGTATTTTCCTCCCATTGATCTTAGTCTGGACACCAGAATAATCCAGAACAAGAGACCGTGCCTGGCCACATGACAGCTGTTTAAATATTTAAAGACATTATCCTGGCCTCCATTCTCAAATTATTCTCTCCACTTCCTTTCACTCTATGTAAATGATTTCCAGATACCTCAACATCTTTCTTGCCTATGTGGGGCCCCTCCCTAGTTTATCAATGCAATCTTAAAATGTAGTTTCCCAAATTAAATTGTATATCCTTGGGATCTCAGCAGATAGCTCAAGATAGCTCAAAGAGTATCTCTAGTAATCTAAGAAAACGTTTCTCCAAATGTTTTGTTTTTATTAGTAGTGAAACAACAGCATGCATCGGCAGTTAATGTGGTGATGATGGTGGCAGCTGATGTTTAAACCCGCTACATTATACTGTTGCTTCTCACAAGTGGGGTTTCAGCTGAGCCTGAACTGGATTCAAACATTGAGAGTACAGTATATGAGGGATGGCTATTAATGGTGACCCACAAGCATTGATCATTCCATAAGAAGTGATTTTCACAGAGGAAACAGCCTATGGGAGGGATTTGGTGCCAGTGTACCTGGGGATGGAAATGAGAAGTAGTGAGGACACAAGATGTCATTCAAAATTGTAGCCTTTAAGATAGCTTAGATCTGTGCAGAGTGGGGCTGGGAGTTAAACTAAGGTACACACAAGGCTATGTGGGCCTGGGGACAACAACTGACAGAACATGAAGGAGGCAGCACCCTCCCTGTTTCTGCTCACGACCCAGTGGGGTCCCACGGAACACCCGCCAGGCAGTAAGCAACAGGCAAGCGCGCAGGGGCAGGATCTGCTCCTAAGTTAGCATGGGTGACATTCGGAGGATTCCAAGGAAAGCTTACGGGTACCCTGAAGATGAACACCATCCTATCTTTGGCACTGCCGGGGAAGGTTGAGCTAGTAAAGTTGAATTATTACTGATAACGAGAGCTCGTTGGAACCAATAAACTGATGAAACAGATACACTTTGGAATGTGTTAATATTAACTAACAGTTAATGTGACTCTTTCAAATTTGTGTCAATCTAGGGCATTCAAGACTTCTCTGAAAATTCCCAAGTAATGTCAAATACGCTGGTTTGCCTACTACACTTTGAGTAACAAGGAATTATAACATATGGCCATAGGTCCTCTAAAAGAATAGCATTGAGCTACACAGTGTCCTGAACTTGAACTACGGTGTTGGTTTCATTGCTCTGTTTTGCTTCCATTTTTATAAATCCTCAGAAACTTCCTCTTACTTGCTAAAATTTAGACCCTGCTGACATTTTTGCCATCTTTGTGTGGTTACTGAAAATAAAGAGAAAACTTTATTTGTAAAGGAAATGCCTAGGAAGCAAAGCTGTCTACTTTTGGGAAGGAAAAGGAATCTACTTTTCTGAAGGACATATTAAAATTAATCATAGAAATAGATTTTGAATTTTCATCATATTTGACCTGACATTTGATTTTCCAGAAAGACTAATAAATGAGAGAAGAGAGAGAAAGCAAAGTTATTTGAATATGATCCCTTCACTTCTGTAATCCCAATATAAACTATCTAGGGTTGTGAGGAGACTTTACAACATAAGATCAAAGATGTGCTGGTGAGCTTCTAAATCTTATTGTTTTGGCTCCAAGGTGGTGCAGAAATGAGAGGTGTAGATGAGGGGCTACAGAGTACAGGAGTTGTTTTCACCCTGGGTGACACACTCTGTTCTCACTCGGGTCCCAGGCCAAGGGGTTTGTTTATCTTCCTTTAAATATTGTCAGAGAAGCTTTTTTTTTTAAATAATAAAATATCATTTATTATTATTTTTACTTTATTTTTCCATAAGTGATTGGAGTAGAGGTGGTATTTGGTTACATGAGTAAGTTATTTAGCAGTGATTCAGGAGATCCTGGTGTACCCACCACCCAAGCAGTGTACACTTGCACCATATTTGTTGTCTCTTATCTCTTGCCCTGCTCCCATTCTTCTCCCCAAGTCTCCAAAGTCCATTGTATTGTTCTTTTTTTTTTTTTTAAGGACAGGAGATTGGCAGATACACACACACACACACACACACACACACACACACGGATATATATATATATATATATCTCCTATTAGTAAATCTCCCTCTACTCTCTAGATGGATAATCTCTCCATATAGACATATAGATGTCCCTTTTTCAATAGACAGATAGTCAATAGATGGGTAGATCTATCTTTCTTTCTATTAATATAGACATGGAAAGATTGATTTTTTTTGGCAAATAGAGATATAGTTTATTTTACTGACTAATTAAAATTCACAAATTGAGTTTGAATACAGATTTTTTTCTATTGTCATACCTGAAAGTCTGCAGGCACACATCAAGGGTTGTGCCAAAGGCTCTTGCCTGCATTTTCATATCTATTCTCTGTAACAGCCTTGTAGGTGGTCCTTCAGGTTGGCAAATATAATAGTGCTAATTTACCTTTATTCATCATTTATTTGTTACTTTTTTCATTTACTTGGAACACTGAGGTAGGTGCTATATGTGTGATTATTTAATTCTTACAAATGCCCTATTAGATAGTTACACTCATAGCCCCCATTTGAAGTATCAGGCAACTGAAACTCAGGAAGTGTAAGTAACTTACCCTATTGTATAAGTAAGAAACTTATACAATTAGCAAGTGATGGAATTGGTGTTGAATCCCAAGTCTCAGTGACTCCAAAGCCAGCACCCCCAGCCCCTTCCCCAGAGAAATGTGGGCATTTGGAGTGTTCTACATCAACATCATCTTTTCCTCTTGATTCAGGCATGGGAGCACAGATAGGTGAGTCAGCAAGTTGCCTCAACAACACAGTTCCTAGTTAGGAGAAGCACAAACAGAACCTGATGTTCTACACAACATCAGGAAGTATGGTGGAATTATTTTCTCAGCTCCTAAATTACAAGAGTCTCCTTTCCCTATGTGTCTGGCAATGGAACCAAAGGGAAGTAGAAGTGGCCTGTGGAACCAACTGTTCTGTATCCATGGGCCATGCCTTCGTTCTTCTTGGAATGAGTCAATGACAGGGTCTGCTGAAAGTCTTGGCAAACAGATGCACACTGAAGTATAGACAAATATATAAGGAAGCCATTTATGGAAATGTAACTGACACAATGATTTAGGTTTTCGAATGAATTTCTGATGTTTATCTTTATGAGGCTGTTAGCACACTGTAAATATTACTTTCTTTTTTCATCTTGAATATGTTACTTTGTTTTCTTTTTTTTATATATTTTTAAATTGCATTTTAGGTTTTGGGGTACATGTGAAGAACATGCAAGATTGTTGCATAGGTACACACATGGCAGCGTGATTTGCTGCCTTCCTCCCCTTCACCTATATCTGGCATTTCCCCCCATGCTATCTCTCCCCAACTCCCCACCCACATTGTATCATTCTTATGCCTTTGTGTTCTCATAGCTTAGCTTCCACATATCAGTGAGAACATACAATGTTTGGTTTTCCATTCCTGAGTTACTTCACTTTGAATAATAGTCTCCAGTCTCATCCAGGTAGTTGCAAATGCTGTTAATTCATTCCTTTTTATGGCTGAATAGTATTTTATTGTACATACATACCAGAGTTTCTTATCCACTTGTTGATTGATGAGTATTTGGGTTGATTCTATAATTTTGCAATTGTGAATTGTGCTGTTATAAGAATGCATGTACAAGTATCTCTTTCAAATAATGACTTTTCTCTTGGTAGCTACACAGTAGTAAGGTTGCTGGATCAAATGATAGCTCTACTTTTAGTTCTTTAAGGAATCTCCACAGTTTTCTATAGCAGCTGTACTAGTTTACATTCCCACCAGCTGTGCAGAAGTGTTCCCTGATTACCACATCCACACCAATATCTACTGCTTTTTGATTTTTTGATTATGGCCGTTCTTGCAGAAGTAAGGTGGTATCGCATTATAGTTTTGATTTGCATTTCCCTAATCATTAATGATGAGCATTTTTTCATAAGTTTGTTAGCCATTTGCATATTTTCTTTTGAGAAGTATCTATTCACATCCTTAACCCACTTTTTGATGGGATTGGTTTTTTCTTACCGACTTGAGTTCATTGTAGATTATGGATATTAGTCCTTCGTCAGATGTATAGATTGTGAAGATTTTCTTCCACTCAGTAAGCTGTCTGTTTACTCTGCTGACTGTTTTTTTTGCTGCGCAAAATCTCTTAAGTTTAATTAGGTCCCAGCTATTTATCTTCGTTTTTATTGCGTTTGCTTTTGGGTCATGAAGTCCTTGCCTAAGCCAATGCCCAGAAGGGTTTTTCCAATGTTATCCTCTAGAATTTTTATAGTTTTACGTCTCAGGTTTAAGTCCTTGATCCATTTTGAATTGAGTTTTGGGTAAGGTGAGAGATGAGAATCCAGTTTCATTCTCCTACATGTGGCTAGCCAGTTATCCCAGCATCTACTCCCCTCAAGCATCACACTCTTAAAATCTCA